TCTCTCCCGGTTGATGGCAGCCTGCGTGCGTATCAATGCAGCCGCCCTTCTCCATCCATTCCTTACCGCCCCCTCCGCCCCGCTCTCCCGCATCGCAGGAAATCGCGAATGAATGAGCGCGAATTGCCTTTGTACTTGTCGGTGGTAGCTGCTAGAAGGGAAAAGAGAAAAAAAAATAAATCCCAAAAGTTTATGAGCCCCGATTCCAGACAGTCTGCAAAAGAACGATCGTCGTGTGTCATTGTGCGTCACGGTGCTAAATTTGTCCCAATGTAGGGCTTCTGGGCCTTTTATTTTTCTTAAATGAAGCTTTTAAATGAAGGTTCTCCAGTTAAGCTTGTGAAGGCAGTGATTGTTTTCCTACTTTCAGGTAGTCTTGCTTTTCTCTGAGCTGGAAAGCGTGTTATCATAATCTTGTTGCTTCCAATAAAAATATTTGGATTTTCTGAGTATGTTTTCTCATATTAAACAGTTGTATAAATGCTTAATATTAGGATGTTTCTTCAGTCCTCATGGGACATGCTGACTTCAGAAAATGCTGTGTCTCCTCCCAAAACTTGGATGCAGTTGGGATACTTAAAAGTTGTGCTTACAAAACCAACAAGAATCTCAGCGTGGTGTAAAGGAACAGGCCAATACATCCTTGGCCTTGACACAATCTCAATGAATACTAATGTTGAAATAGTGAGGAGGAGCCTTAAGCAGACTGTACATGGGGTGTGCTTTCTTTGCGGTGCCAATGTCTCCTGTCTGTCAAGAGAGGGCCCTAGCTCTGACGTGAGTTCTCCTCCATTCAGATGGAAATAAGAGCTTGCGAGCTACTCTGCCAGTTGAATAGCAAAGGAGAGGAAATTTCCACTATGCTGTTGTCTAGTGATCTTTCTGTACAAGCAGGTTTCCTGAAGTGCGTGGGTTGGATGCCTGAGTGTATGGATTGCAGAAATCTGTGTCATGAATCTAACCAGTGCAAAGACTGTGGGTGCGTTAGAAATAGCTTGTAACTTTTTGAAAAAAGTGAAGTTGAAACAACCTTTTCTGTTTAAACCTATCTAGTAGGATAAGCCACTTACAATGTTACTAGTCTGTGCTAGTCCAAGGTCAGTAGATAACACTTGAAATTGATACAACTTAGTTGGTAATTAAGTTTCTACAGCCGGCTCCCTTGATAAAAGATGTTTTTCCATGTTGAGGAAGTATGTATAGGCTTAGATAGCAGTTTGAATAATTTTAGTTCATTAATAAGTTTTCTTAAGTGGTTTAGGTGATTGGTACATGGTTAGTGCTACATACCTTTTCCTTAGCTGACATTAAGAGGTGACTGTTCAGCAACACTATACATTATCAGTATATTTTTTCATCAATATTTATTTGTCCTGGCATTTTGTGATTAACTTATTGTGCTCATTTAATTTAACTTTATATATTAGGTAAATTGTAGTCTTTGACTGGTTTGGGGGGGGGGGTGGCGTGTGGCTGTTTGGTTTTATTTTTTAATTGCAGAATGCTAATTGAGTGACTCTGTTGGCACAGAGGAATATGCAGTGTTTGGTCTCACTTCTGCCCTTGCAGTACTGATGTGAGCTTAGAGCAGTCTCACTGACTATTGTTGCTTTTCTCTTGCTGGTCTCCCCTCTGAGAGGTGGGGAGGGAAGAGAGGAGAGCTCTGGTTGCCAGTCTGCTGGGCTGTGGTGTCTCCAGGGACAGCATGGTAAGAATTCAGTTGGCTCTCATTCTTCCATGCGTATTTCTCTTGTCTCAAGACAGCTTCCTCATAGAAGTAAGACAGAAGCAGTAGAGAAACTGTTAAAGAGTTATTCGCAGTATGTGCATGTTTTGCCCTAGTCTGAGGTAGTCCTGGGGCCTTAAGTAAATTGTGACTGCAAGGCAGTGATTCTCTGTGAATCTGAGCGCTATGGCATTGGAGTACTCATCTTTATCTGCCATTGCTATACCAGGATTTGCGAATAGATCAAACGCAAGCAGTTCCAATGCTAATTTGTCATGTAACAGAGGTATGTTGCCTTTTACAGTTTGGTAAGAGTTGACTTCTACAGTTTGGTAGAAACTCTGTACTAAGTCTCCTCTTGCTGTAAAAAATGAGAGATTTTTACTTTACTTTTTGCAGACTTGAGGGATAATTCAATTTGAATCTTTCACAAATTGGATCCAAATCTAACACCCCACCCTCAAACCCCTTACATTTTTAATTATATGGCATAATCATTTATTGTATTAAAGGTACAGAAAATACTGGAAGAAACTGTCAATGACATGAGTCAGTGGTGTTTTCAGCAGCAAAGCATAAGGGCACTGATAGTCCTCGCAGAGGTGATGGGAAGGAGGGTCGGGCCTGGGGTTCCACACAGGGTGTAATCAGGTAGGGCAAACAAAGAAGAACTTGGAAGACTGCGATGTGGGGCCATCCTGTAAGTGAAAGGAAGATTAGCATCTGGCTCTGCCTGTAATGGCAAGGTGCGGTGTCTGCCTAGAATTATAGCAAGAACAGAGTGAGGTCATCATCAAAGTATTGTAATGGGATGTTCACTACACACACACTCAGATGTGTGTATAATCTTACAACATAGACAGTAAACTCTTTTTACACAAGGTTACAGAAAAATGATTTGTGCCAAAAAAAGGCAACGTAGTGTTTAGAGATGCTGAATTTATGGTCACGCTCAGTGTCATGTTAAACCTATTTAAGCCTTTCTGTAAAGCTAGTTGTGTCAAGGTGTTCAAGGTAGAGGTGACATTATCTTGAAGTAGACAGAAATTTGGTATTTTGGGGGTTTGGGTTTTTTTTGTGTTGTAAATGCTTAATCATGACATTAAGCACTGGCTTTTCTGATTCTTTGCAAGTGTTGCATTTGACAATTTTTATTGTCTCCTGAAGTGTTTAGCCAGGTTATATGTGGAGCCCTGGCTTATTGAGAAATAACCTGTAACACAAGACTGAAGTTTTATTTCTTCCTGAAGTCTTCCTTCCCTCTTTCTTCCTCTCCCTCCCACTACCATCTCCAAAATTTGGAAAACAGTAATTCTGAAGTGTTTAGGGAATAAATTTGAAACATGATTAGCGCTGATCTGATATGTATAGTTGTCTTAGTTTAAGGCAAGGAAATCCATCTGCAGGTGGACCAAAAGATGTTGCTGGCATTGGTGGTAGGTACTAGTAACATTATTTAGGTATTTAAATCCCACTAGTTAAAGATAGTAAAGAATGGTCATGCAGGTGATAGGATCAATGCAGCATGGAATCAAAAAAATCATAAAGACAGCATTTCATTTTCATTGTTCCAGGCAATGTTGAATAGTTGCTTCCATGTCTGTTGTGACTGTTTATATTGATACCTGTATATATCTACCTATGTATAACATATAGGTAGATCTGCCAATCTGGTTTATGCCAGATGGACATGCTGTTTATCACTATTGCCATGTAAAGTTTGGAAAGCTTGTATTCATCGTGGAAACGATGGCCAGGTACGTCATATCTTGCATTCACCAGAGTTAGAAATTCTAGTTTTCATAGTGGAGAAGTGTTTTTATCACTACAAATGAACTCCAACTAATAATGGCACCAACATGTTGGCTCAGAAATAGCAGTTTTCCAGATCTGGCTGTTGCTTATCCGTGTGGTTAGGGTATGAATTGTTTTTAGTACTGTGGTGCCCTGCAAAAAGAAAAAATTACCAAACCAAAACAATCAAACAAAAAACCCCCAACTAGGTAAATTGTAATGCAGAATTTTGGTTTTGACAGTTTTCCTTGTGTGATAGTTTTAGTGTCAGACTGAGACATTTGAAGGGTTTAGTGTAGCAAGATGTTCTGCAGCAATGGAAATGAGTTGCACGTTAGATGTGGTAGCTGTACTTCCCTTGGAGTAAATGTGGAGGATAGCTTTCCACTGTTACTTGGGTACATCTTGTTTCCTGACAAGAAATCCAATGTTATGTGAAGTTATTTTGGCAGAGCTTCTTGACAGGTTATGGCTTGTTCACTCTGATTAGCTTAGGATAATTAATACTAATAGGCTCACAAAGAGCAGCTTACTCAGTTTGGGGCCATTTGAAGTTGCAGAGGGTTTTTTTGTTGTTTATTTTTCCCCTCTTTTGAATTTGGCAAAGTAGCATAAATGGGCATTTTAGTGGTAAGTGTTCTGCAGTGCATTTACAAGCTATATTAAAATAAAGATTAAAAATAATCTGTGTGTGTGTGCATGCGTGCTTTGCTGGACTGGGGGAGGTTAGCGTAGTTTCAGTGCTGTGAATAGAAAGTCTTTCTAGCCTTGTTACTGCTGCAGCTCTGATGGATATGAAGTTGCTGGCAGGGACAAGGACTCTGTAAGGGACTGTTCATGCTGCAGTCTCCACCACGGAGTTGATGGCTGTGTTTTAGACATTGGGGTCCCTCTTGTTTTCCACAATATTAGCGCTCCCTCTGTGGGCCTGAGGGCTCCTCAGGGACTGCCTACACATAGCAGTTGTGCCCCACTGCAGCTCTTGGCAGGGGAGGGGACCCTGGCAGCCCCCTTCCCCACTGGAGTAGAGAGGCTGTGTAGGTGCGTAGGCACCAATGCCTTGACTGAGGGTGCAAAGGAAGAGAGCTGCAAGCAGGCTTGGATCAGCTCTTCAGAGTGCTTCAAAATGGGGCCCAGGGCCAGTATTGCAGGTGTAATGGTAGTGTTGACCCAAAACAGTACTATACTTGGGGCTGTGTCTGCTTAGAAGTGTACCACCCTGGTGCTGTTATGCCCATCAGTAATAAATGAGCGGGCAGGGATTTTTTTAATTTGTTTTTTTACCCAGTGAAGTTTAGGTATCATCTTTTGGAAGTTAAAATACAGGTGTATTCTGAAGTAGCTCAATGAAAAAGATTTCCCTGGCTTTCTTGGTTTTATGCTAGTTGCCACAGAAGGTGCTTGTCTTAAATGCCAAACTTTTTTTCTGTTCCATTGGAACTTATTGATGAATGTTTTGGTCACTTGATGGAAAGTGTACTTTTTAGACAGCTTGATGAAAGTGTATTCGAGAATTGATGAACTTGTAGGGATGAAAATGAGAGCTGACCAAAGATTTTATAAGGGAGTGGTTTTGTTTGGTTTTGTGATACCCAAAACACATTGGGTATTAATCAGAAGATCATTGCTCTGTTTTGGATCCAGCTAAAGCAATTATAAGCTCATAGGTAAAGCAAACTGCTGGTGAGTCAAATGCACTTGCAACTTATGTAATGGCTTTTGTTGATTAGGATTTCTACTATCTGTTTTTATATGCTCTTTTCAGCTTCTAAGCAGCTTCTAAATAGCCTTAGAGGTAGTTTATAATAAATGTCTAGCTGTCTTGTTCATTATAGAGTAAGCTTATTCTTGTGCTCACGTACTTTGCTACTTCTAATCACTGTGTTCTATCTTGCATCTCAGTGGTTCCCAAATGTATTTTAAATAGCTGATCACTTTCAGATTATTGCACATTGGTAAGTAACTTTCTCAACATGTGAAACTGAAAACTAAAACCAAACCAAAATCCAGTAACATTCAGCTGGTTGCTGCAGAGAACTCATGTTAATGTAAAGATAATTTGGGAACCACCCCATTATTTAATATATTAAATATACACTGAAGTCTTTCAGGAGAAGTAATGCAGGTATGTCCGTCTTTAGCAGTCATGGATTACTGGGGGCTATAGTACACTAGAATATACTTCAGTGCAAAGTGCAGGCATAGTTTCTGGGACAGGAGCCAGGGGTGAGGCTTCCTTCTGTCATCTTCTAGTGGACAGAACTCATCACTGGGGTACAGTCATTTTTACTTTTGATTTTTCCTTTTTTATGGAAGGGTGAAAAATACTGCACTTGATTCTGTCATACAATCAAGTGTCAGTGGTAGGATGTTGCATAATATTTTTGATGTGCTTTTCTTGACCTGAGTTATATCTCTTTGGCTTTCTGATAGCAGTCTTACAGTTAGACTATTTTATAAAAATTGAATTTACATCATAGTTTCGTTATGCTTGTGAATTAGAAAGGTTTTGAAGGTGGCTTTCTGCAAGCATCTGAATTCCTCAATACTTGTATACATCCCATTCTTTTTGACAATGTCTATGCATGTGTCCTTAAGTCTCAAGCGTTCAGTCTTAAAACAGGATCACACGGTCTTTTTTTTTTTTAGGTTAGTATTGTATACTTGATTAATAAAACGATTTCTGTTGAATCTTAAATGTCTTTTAGTAAGTCTTCCATCCATATAGTATACATGCTTTATCTTTAGTTGCAAACTGTCTCCAGGTAAACATAAATTTTGAAAGGTAATCTAATAGTAACCATCAATACATATACTCGGAACTTCTGAAAGCAAAACCAAGGAAATGTAGCAAACAGTACACCCTTATTTTGTTGCTTTAATGAGATACACTAACACAGGTCTGTCAGGGTCAAAAACCAAATAATGCAAGAATATAAAGCCTTGTTTGAAAACGTAGTTACTAAAATAATTGAGCTGTCCTAAATTTTAAAAGGCTTTTAAATGAGGGCTATGCATCATACTGAGATGATGCATACTCTGAGAAAAAGGGCAGAAAGTTCTTTGAAAATCTTTGCAGCTGATATGAGTCCCTATCATCTCTAAAGTAAGATTTTTAACTTTGGTCTGTCTGTTGCCTTGTCTTTTCAGTAAACAACTGATCTGTTTGTCCAGTGTGGATGCATAATGAAAAGGGAGGGGGGAGGAGAACAGGAACACTTAGTGATTTATTGCAGCTAAGTGATGGAGAGGTACTGTGTCGTAATAGGCTGTTTCCTTGAGGCTGTTTCCTCAGGTTTTGAGGATCTCTTCCTTAAGGAACTGTCAAGTTGAAGCTTGTAACATCTGTGTAATTGGTGAATTCCAGGAACGTTGCTGAGTCCCTGAGGTAGATTGGTAAAGCAGATGGATTTGTTAGGCAAAGATTTTTGATAAGTCTGAATAGAAGGCTTGCTTTGTTTTCAAAAATATGCAGCAGAAAATGTTTTCACCTTGAGAAGTCTCTTGTAGCAAGACATACATGTGAATGAATGCTCCGTGGGTAGTTCTCTCAGGTATCAAGTATGTTATGCAAGCACAATCACTTTCTACCTGTTCTGGATCCAGTGCACTAATTTTATCTTTTCACTCAGTTCTTTCATCTGCCCTACCACCCCTTCCTCTCCAGATACAAAATTGTAATTCCCTTAAACAAGTGAAATTCATTTTTTTTTTCTAATGGACTGCTTAGTCATCTTTACCAGCTTTTTTTAGAGCGGTTTTTAATGCTTCTCTCTTAAAAATAGAGATGCCAAAATACCCTGTAAAATTTAAGATCCATAAAGTGTGAAGAAAACTTTTTTGCACACATTATTCTGCACTGTGCAATACATATGTATGCTAGAGGCATATTGATTTATAACTACAATTAGAAAGGCAAGGGATGGGCGGGGGAGGAACAAAAAACAAGCATAGTATTGCTTATTTCCCATTTTTTATTTTCAAAATAGGTGATGGAATTAGCTGAAATGAAAATAGTAATTTTAGCTTTTTCTTTACAGGTTTGATCTTACTATTCTATCTGGTATTTTATGGCTTCCTAGCAGCACTCTTCACATTCACAATGTGGGTTATGCTTCAGACATTGAGCAGTGATATACCAAAATATCGTGACCGGATTTCTAGTCCAGGTAACAGCGTATTTATGTTTTCATAAACCTCTGTCTGGTTTAACAGCTAAGTTTCATTTGAGAGTTTGAAGTATGAACTGCCTATGGGAAACTGTGATTATTATTCAGTTACTTACGGGTTTCAAAGGTAAAACGTGGTGTGAGGCAAGTTATATATGTTTATAGCATAAATTCAGTCAGTAGCTTTTTGTGCATGTGGGCTAACTTTTGTTGCTGGTTTTTTTTCTGTAAGTTCTTTTCAGTTGAATTTATCATGTCTGTAAACCACAGTTTTACCTGCACATCCACACAACATGCTGTTGAAGTGGGATTATAATTTCCAGAGTTTTCACTGTAGTATTGGATAGGTTTCAAGTGCCATGGAATGTCTGTGGAATCCAGGGGTTGTTGACCTATTATGTAGGGTTCCACTGAAGAGAGAGGGTCCTGTTTTTTGATGAAGCCAAGTCCACATGGCATGTAGCTACCACTAAATGTTGTGTCTTGCTTCCTGGAACTACTGCTTTCTTTGTGTACATGTCCATCCAGTCCCACTGTTGGCTGGTTCAAGGAGCTGTATGTGACAGAAGAAAAACCTGCACAAATAAAAATTAATTAAAAGGTGGTTGTCTTTTTCCTTTTTTCCTTTTTTTGTCTTTTTTTTAAACTTTTTAGGTTTTTTAAACATTGGTTTAAATATATCACAGAAGTCAGTCATCATGGACTCTATTTTGGTGTATCCATATTGGTAAAAATTAAGGATTTTCACTAGGAAAGATTTAAACAATACTTCTGCATACTTTAACTACACCAAAGAGATTAGTGTTTTCTAGTTGCTGTTTCTGGAGAATGTGTAAGTATTTGATTTGTATATGTAACTTAAATGGTTGGGCCACCTGAAAATTTGATAAGATATCTCAAATTTTACAATAACTTGGCTTAGGGACCAAATTTGTGTTTCACCATAACAAAACTAGATGGCTATGCGATGTTAATATTTTTTGGAAGTTAGACATTATTTTTTTAAATACTTTTTCCTTTTTTTTTGAACTCTAAACCCTTAAAATTAACCAGCATCTTGCAGCTGCATCAACACTTATGTTGATATAGTAATCTTTGTGTGAGCAAGTTGCAGTTGGGCCAGTGTGATAAATGTCTCTGGATTCTGAACTCAATTTGTTTTGATGTAGTGCTCAGGCCTTCTTTAACAAGAATCCTCTTCTTATAAGGGATTCTTGAGGATTTGTGCTGGTTTTTCAAGCTAAGAATAGGCTAAATGCTGGAAATAATAATAATAATAACAACAACAACAACAACAACCTGCTTAGTTTAAAAAAAGAAGAAAGATGACAAAAAAAGGTGGCTTAGTCAACCATTTCTCTTCATCTCTGTGGTCAGAACCTTGGTAGTGGATGGAGCTTTGGGTGGCTGTGACTTAATACCGGACTTGAGTGACATTTTTTCTCTCATGTCTCTTGCAGTTCTGGGTATTAATTTTCCTTTGTTTTAAAATAAGTAATAAGAGGTGTTTGTTTAAAAAAAGTATGTATGCCACAATTAGTTTTCAACTTAAGAATTCCTATAAGATTTCTGAATTTTTTTCATTAATGATGTATTTAATTACTCATACATAGAAGTTAATAAAATTGCTTTTTCTGCTTTAATGTTTCTCTTTAACTTTGTCATTTTTCACTTGCAGTGAAACATGTCATGTTCCTGGCTGTAAAACTTTAAATTATAAAAAAATTTCTACACACAAAACCTGGATGGCGTAGGTCAAAGGTTTTACTCTTGTGTTAAATGTACTTGGAAATCGCACAGTTGATTTATTTTATAATTGATATTTGACTTGCATTGTACACTGGAATATAATAGCATCAATCAAATCCAGATGATTTAAAACCCATTTCTTTAAAATCCCTCTTGGAATTGTAGGAAAATGTAATCTCTGTTGCAATCCTAGATGTGATCCTAATGCTAATTCTGTTCCTCTAGAAGAGCCCAAATCCTGCATCTCTCACAGTCTATGCATCAGTCCTTCTTCAAATAGCTTTTTTTCTGTTGAATTTACACCATAGTGTCTAGGCAGACTGTGATCCACTGGAACTGGAGCAGTCCCTTCCTCTTAGGATATTTTTGAAGTTCCCCTGAAGCAATAAATCTCTTCAAATTATTGTCTCATTCACTGATGACTAGTTTAGTTCCTTTGTCATATTCACTTTGAAAAACAGCATCTAAGTCCTTCATTTACAGTATAATTCTATAGATAATAACAATCTCTTCTCCTCTAAAAGCCTTTAGTGTGTAAAACCCCTCCAGTGATTTTTCATCCCTGTTACTAATTATCTTGTATTTTGTTGAATCCCAGTTCAGTGTAGAGGCCAGATGATGACTGTAATGGTGCAAAGTAATTTGCAGTCAAACATGGTATTTGTAGTTTTATATGAACTATGAGTCATTAAGGCATTTAGTTGTGGCTTGCCTGGGAAATAATATAACTGCTGCTAATGCAGAAAGAATTTGTGATTTATTGGAAATCCTACAAATATGTAGAGTAAAAAAGTCATTAAATTATATCTGTTTTTTAGAATCTAAAAGATGTTTATCTATGGTCAATTTCTAGTATACAACTTTATTATTTCCCATTTTAAGATGTTTGTAATAATTTCTGCCTTTGGATGAGAAGCTTGGTCATTTCTATAGCTGAATTCTTAATAGACCTGGGCTGCTTAAATGCACTTTCTGTATGCTTTCCAAAAGCTTACTGTGATTGATTAACTACAGTAATGTATTAAGAATCCAACATTAAGACAATATCCAACTTTATCTTCCCACTATAGTCTTATCTTCTTAAATATTTATTTTGTATAAATAAAGCCTGAATTTATTTTTATGTTCTAATTTTGGGAGATGAATTTTGTTTTCTGCCTTAAATTTTATTCATTTGGGAATCTAGTTTTAATTGGTTTTGCGAGATGATAAGAAACTACGTGGCATCCTAATCTGGTACAGTTAGTTGCTGCTGTAATTGCACTTCTTCCCTTATGCCAAATTTGATGTTGATCAAACCCTTTTAATATTCTAACTTAGAAGAAAACTAATCTAATAAAAATAGGTTTAATAATTTGTTGGATTTTTTTCCTTTTGTGGAACTGCGATGTCAGTTCTCAGCTATACTTGAAGAGACAGATGCATGGATACTCATCTGTTAATCACAACTGCAGGGGTTTTATCTGTTCTAATTATTTACGTTAAATAAGAGTTACCTTAAGGTACTGTGAGTAAAGCAATCAATCATACACCCTTTTTTGAACAAATTTAATCTCTTCTGCAGTATCTGGTGGTGTAGTGCTATTTCTTCTGCTACTGAAGCTGTGATGGATAAGAGTAGTGACAACTCCTGATGGTACAGTGCTGTATGTATTAGCAGAGAGTGTGCCTTTTGCTTTCACCTGCTACAAAAATCTCCTTAAGATTTAACTCTGTACCTTTCTTTACCCATATCCCGGGAAGAAGGACAGTTCACCTCTATCAAGGCCCCAAACGCCATGTCAGTGTCTGCCATTTTCATCCTTCAATTCAAAGCTGGACTTCAGCATTCAGTAATCTGTGTCCTTGTTTCTCCTGCCAGTCCTGGCTCCCTGGCTGCAGATTGCTCCTGTTCCAGTACCCTCAGTCAGCAGCTGAGTGAAGCCAGCCATAGGCCACCACACTGGCTGCTGCAGTGTGCGGTGGGTGCTAGCAGCCTGGGAGGCAGCTCAAGAGCGTTCGTAGTTACCACAGCATGACTAAGGCGTACCCCTTCAAGTGATGCACGTGCAGTAGTTTGATAAAGTTTCTTGTATTCTCCATGAAACAGACGGCATCTAAACTTTCTGTTTGAGGAGAAGGAGACAGGACTAACAACTAACTTGGCTCATCTGTTTTGATTGGGAAATCTTTCAAGCCATATTTATACATTATAGAGTTTTTTAAAATACTTTGTTTCTTGTGGATTTCTATGAGATTAATACAATCATAGCTTCACTCTATATTGCCTAAAGTTTTGAAGCATAGCTTTAACTGGAGGCTTTCTGGGTGTGGTTTTGGGTATCTTTTTCAATTATTTTTTAAGTTTAATTTGCTGAATATGGAAAGTGGGAAGTGAATCAGTAAAATTCTTTGATTGAAAGTGATTACGTTGCTGATTTTGCTATTCCTAATCAGTCGGGTTTGGTTTGTGAATTGCAGTTAGACATTGGATTGAATTTAAGTATTAATTCCTGTAATGTTGATTTTGATAACTGACTTCAAACGCAAACTACCTTCCAATACTGTGGAATATAGGGGTAACATTGATGTTTCTTTACAGATATGTATTGTCCAATTTATGGATATGATTTTTGAGTAGGTTAGAGTGGTGTAGGGGAGAGAAGTTGTTTAGTTCGTTACTTGCACTTTTTCTTTTTAAGGACTTATGATTTCACCAAAGCCAGACACTGCATTGGAATTTTACTTTAACAAGAGTGACGCCCAGTCGTATGCAGAATATGTTTCTACTCTTAGAAAATTTCTTGAATGTAAGTTACTTACAGCTGTCCAAGTAATTAATGAGTCTTAATGATGAGTACATTAGTTTGCTTTTTAGCTTGTGGTTACCAATTGCTAATGAAAACTGATGCAAATTCAGGCTTACTCTAGATGCGTGTTATTAAAGTATATACTTTACAGAAAAAGGTAAGTATCAATACCTGTATTGGACAGGGAGGCTGAGCATGAGCATTAGTGGACTACATAATGGAGTTTGGGGTCCTAGTCCAGTGTTTTGGTGACATGGTTGTTTAAATGCTACAAGATGTAGAAATTACATATGCCAAAAGAATTTATTGTAAAATTACATAGGTCATGTATTTGGAGGCAAAGTTTATCAAGACTTAACTGATCAGTCTTCATCTAAATGGCCTGGTAACTGAGTGAGAATCCTTTAGTCTTAAGAACTTGAGTGTTTGCCTGTTTAAAAAATGAGGCACACAAAGATTAAATTAATTGCTATTTATTCTTTTTCACCCTGATACGCAGTATTTATGGGCAGAAATATTAAAATATTGAATTTAGAACATGGAGAAAAGGTAACACAGGACAAGACTGAAGGATGGCAAAATCACTAGTTTAAGTCATACATTATTTTATATATATCCCTGTATGTACACTTAATCTAGAAATACAGAAATCAGTTTAAAATATTAGTAAATTTAACCCCTCAAAAGTTGTAAGTCAGAATTGAGGAGGTGCTGTAAAATCTCACCTGTGTGCATGAGTTGCTTTGTTAGCTGCACAGCTATACTTGAACCTCTCTGCATTTGTAGTTGTGGTGCCTACTAAAAGCTTCTATGAGTAGGCTTTTTTTTCAGAGCTCTGCCAAGGGTTCCAATGCTACATTTCATGATTACCTGCCACTCCTGCAGTTCAGTGGGTTTTGGACTCTCGCATTGAGGATGAACTTACCCTTTTTCCATTTCCATTTCACGTTGTTTATACTCAGCTGGGGGCGGGGTGTAAGGGAGAGGAACAACACTTGTTAAATATGAATAGATGAGTGTTTGTGACAACGTGATCTGTGTACTTGTGAAACACAAGAAAGTGAGAAACAACTTGGGATGTTAGTATAACATCAGTTATACTACCTGATGTAAAAGTAGAGGCAATTTAATAGTACTCATTGAAATACTTGAAGTTTTCCTGTGTGTTTATAAAAGAAACACATGCAAAGGGAAAACTGATTTAATTTCCAGGTAAAAACTTGATTGTTTATATTTTAATAGATTATTAGTTTAAAATACATAATTATTTTAGAATTAGTTTATGTACAGAAATTAATTAAGTTGTGATTATTGATATGATTCAAAAAGCAGGATAGCATTATTTCTTTTGTAATACTCTTTGTTCTTTTATTCAAGTACAGTGCCACTTCTTGATAGGCTTTGACAAAGTGTTGAGATGGATATGAGGCATAGTGCTCTGAAAACTCCTAGACATAGCTTGAGAAAACTCCAAGACAAGTATAAATTAGATGTTTATTTAGGCTTCTGCAGTTTTTGGCTACTTGTATGCTTTATACCATTGATTTACAAGCTATTTCTGTTTCATAGCATATGATGATTCAAAGCAATCCCAAAACATAAACTGTACACCAGGAAGGATTTTTGATCAGAATGATGTTGCTGTTAAAAAGGCGTGTCGATTTAACCTCTCTGAGCTTGGACAATGCTCTGGAAAGGAAGATAAGACCTTTGGCTATTCTAAAGGAACTCCTTGCGTGCTTGTGAAAATGAACAGAGTAAGTGCCTACTTATTTTTTGATTTTTAGCATAAGTGCTCCCAACTACCACTGTTTGAAAAATAACTGTAGAAAAGGACTGAAATACATGTTCAGTTTGCTTCCCATGATACTTGTATTTCTGGAATAGTGTAATTTACTGAAATGTCTAGCAATTCGTGTGTTTCAGGGAGTCAAATGAAGCGAGCTTTTTAAGCATTCTGATACATACAAGTATGGGCTTTGATTACTTGCATCAAGATATCTGAACTTCCTGTTTTAAGTAGTACAGTGCTCTTTGGTTTTGCTTACTGTTCTATGTAACAGATTCTAAACCACTGTGCAGGTAAAGTGTGTTTTACTTCATATCTGTGTTTAAAAAATGTAATTAGAATGTCACGCATTCTGTAACTCCTCAGCTGTGTAAGGTGATGAAAACTTTACTGAGTGAGTAAGCATTTGACTTTTCAGTGATGCTATACATGACTTGAACTGCTAACTAGTTTGAGCCATTAATGTTACATGCTGAATGTAATAAAAGAAAATAGTCCTTTCTATGGCCACTGTAACTATTTAAGTTTTAACTTAACAATGCTTAAATCTTAGTCCTAGTCTAAAATTGTGCTTCATATAAAAATGACACTAGATAGATTTACTTCCTGTATGAACTCTGTCATACTAAGTCGGGGAAAAGTTTAAATTCAGTCTGTAAAACTGGAATGGGCCAGTCTATAAATATTTTCGTTTTCTCTCCTTTAGATAATTGGATTAAAGCCTGAAGGGGAACCACGTATACATTGTACATCTAAGGTCAGTTCTCAATGTAAGAAATAAGTGTGTAGTTAATTTTCCTTGTGATTAGGATGGAAAATGAAGTAATATACTGTGTCAGGACATTTATTCACTCCCTTTCTTGTTAGACTTTGTACTTTTTTTTTCTTGTTTTCATCTTACTGTGTGTCTAGTTTAGTTTTAGTGTATTTGATTTCTTCAGTGTACTTATAAAAATACTTTTTTGTTGTTGTTGTAGTTATTTCACCTTTAGATGTATTTGAGTTACCTGACTTGCTTTAGAGTTGAGGAAAATGCATACATGCAATTTGTGGTATTTATTTATTTATTTATTGTGAGTTGTGTTTTTTTTTCCCATTTCATAACCTGTATTTTTATTTTTTCTCCATGCTGCAAGTGCACCTTAGACAATTTTGTAATGATGGGTAAGACACAGTGTGGAAACTAATGTTACTGTTCAAGTAAAAGTTGCCTTCAAATCAAGCATAAACTACTTACAATAACAGCTAATCTATGCATACTTATTGTGTACCAATGGATTTACCCAGAACATTTTATGGCAACTATAATAATTACTTTGACTTCTGCATATTTTTCCTAGACTGCTTGGGGAGCAGTGACAGCCTTGGTAAGTTAGTAGCTTGAGCAAGGGATGGAGTCATGGCTTTTAGCTTTAGGTGACTGATAAAAATGTAGGCTAGGAAATTTCAGCAATTAATGAGGCAAATACTGTAAGTGTTCCTGCCTTCATCCTAGGTACCAGTGGTAGGCATCAATTTTAGTACTTGATTTTTGTGGAGTCTTTGAAAGTTTTGATCTCCCCATGACAGTCTGTTGCAAGTAAAGGTGAATCCTTGTCTTATTTGAGACTGATTTCTTTTTGTCCATTCTTAAAACAATGTTGTCTGTTGGAGGAATTATTTGTTTCTTCAGAATAGAGCAATTAAAGTCAGTTGCTTATGCTTCTACTAGTATTCTTTCTTCTTTGATTTTTCTAGTTTATCATTTTTCATAATGTGTTATCCCAAACTTGACAGTTTGCCTCTAGCTGAGGTATTCTTAATGACAGAATTTCTTCCTCTGTCATCACATTGGAAGCAATAATGTCTCTCGAGGTGAATTTGCCGTTTGTAATACATCGAGTGTTTATTTTGATCATTTTACTACTTAGATATTTCTTTTGGTTATTTCTCAGTCTGTATTTGTATATGTGATTTCTTGAAGTTCAGAACTTTGAATTTCATGTTGCTATTTTTGCCCCGCTCCTCCCTTCCCCACTGCCCCGATCATTTTAATGGGATTGAGCTGAAGTGTTTTGAACTACTTACAGCTTGGTGCCATCAATGAACAAATTTTCTTTTGCATCTCGCAAGTCCTTATTGAAAACACTGCGTAGGGTCCAGGACAGTCATCTTCATTTCCACCTGAAATGCCTTGTGAGGTATTGGGAGCTAATGTTCAAGTGATTTTTAAAATGTTGATGGTAATCCTATTTTATGATGATCATATTTCTTCAGCTTTCTTATATAGATGCTCTATGAGACAGTGGTAAAAGCTATACTAAGCAAATCACAGACGATGGTTTCTTATCCTCTTAGCTGATTTCACTAGCAAAAGAGTAAGTTTGATAACAATTCGGTTGATCATGGGTGGGGTTTTTTGCTATATTTTACCCGTTAAGATACATACAAATAAATTGTATGTTATGTATTTTCTTGCATCCTTTTACTTTAAGTATGAAGTACTGCTTTTTACCATATCCAGTTAGAATTTCTCTGATCTACACAAGTGTGATGTTTTTAAATTTTAAGATTATTAAGCTTACTAGTTCTTTAGTGACTTCCAGGGAAAATATTTGTCAGGCTTTGCCACTTTGAATGCATCTATTTTATCTTAAATTAGGCTATTCTTGCCCTAAGTCATCATGATTTTACCTGCTTAGGAACTGTTACATATTGGTTACAATTCAACCTTCTCTGTAGACAGCAAAGTGGAGAAGCACCATCAACGACTTTCATTTTTTCCTTTTGTCTGTGCTTCATTTTACTGAACAACTTCTTTCTGTTATGCTCCTTGCATATTGAAGTTCTTATGTTAAACTTAAAGCATTCTGCTGTTTTTAAATCGGCTTGTGAGGCCTTGTTTCCAATTCCGTTTTTATTTCTTTGACTCTTTAGGAGATGAGTGCTATGTAATGGTCTCTTCCTCTTCTGTAGCGGATAAGGTGAATGCTCATCTGGAAATAATATCTTGCGGCTCTTCTGGATCTTGTTGATACAGGGATGTGAATTGTGACCCTCTTGTGTGCACACTGGAAAGGTGGAGAAGGATAGCTGATAGGCTTTTGTGCATTTTGCAGACGAATTTATAACACATTGCATCTGCCACTGTATTTGAATGTTCCCTAAATACTGGGTCATAACAGAAGTTGAAGCGTAGTGGTGATTTGCACTTCTCTATTGCTTCTCTTATTCAGAGTGTTTACTTAGTCTTTAAGTAACTGATGTGTTCTGTTGTGGTGGGGTTTTTTGTTGGTTTTGGGGTTTTTTTCCCTTCTGTGTTGCTTTCAGCAAATGCAGGTTGAAAGAATTCAGACTGTACTGCAAAGTTTAATCCAGGTGACACACGTTTCTGAAAATAAACCCTGATTTCTGAGAATTTTAGATAGATCTGTGATTTCAAAGTCAGCACACTTGATAGTTGAGGATGCTTCCCCCTTTGCCCCCACATAGTGGTAGCTGTCATCACTGTAATTTCTGTAGATTAGGTTTAGGGAAGTGAGTGCAGTGTCACACTAATTCCAGCTGGGTCTTCCTCCTGCACCCTGGAGAAATGGACCTGCTGTAGTCTTGAGGATCTCCACAAAGAGAAACAAGCTGAAAAAGGATTGTGTTTCCAAGAAGTTTGAAGATTAGCGTTTTAGGTCTTCAGTTTTGGGCTGGAAGTGCACAATTTTGCAATTTCATGTGCACTGGAACATCTTGCAGCAGTATTCTTTCAAGCTAAAACTGCCTTTACTGAAAACTGGTAGATTTTGGTGCATGATTTTTTTTAACGATAGAAGAGTAATGTTAAGTCCAATATATATATTTCTGCTGTTTAGTGATCATCTTGACTTTGTTTTAGCTATTGCTTTCTAGTTTACAAGAATGAGGAAGGGCTGTATGAGTGACACTATGTGCCTTGCTGTTGTCAACATACTCAGCATCTGAGTTACCTTGCTTTTTGTGACAGAAATCTTAGATGTTTTACAGTTTCTGTTAATGGATACTGCTCTTTATCTTGTGCAATGATACAATTTCTTCTTCTCAAATGATTACAGACCAGTCTTGCCCAGGTTCTTTCCTTGGGTCTTTGTACATTTTTTTAACATCTGCAAAATTATTCTTTCTAAGACACAGTTTTAATAAAGAGCCAGTAAGTGAGGTGGAAGTCTATCTGTCCAGATAAGTGGTCTGATTTTTAGATTTGCTGACTGCCTGCAACTCCTTGTGAAAATTGTAAATAGTAAGCAGGAAAAGTGACACTCACTAATGGACTGATTCTTGAAGCTTTTCAGCAAATGCAGCTTGTTTAGGTGTTGTGTTTTGTTTTTTTTAATTGTGTAGGGATATAAATTAGGATTAGTTAATAATTAAAGAAAACCCCAAACCCCACAGCAGTTGCATGAGACAGGCAGTTGCATGTCCCAGAGCCTCTCTGCTATTGCATTGAAAGCCTGATGCATATATATTTATGACTGCATGCATGCCTTGTGTTTAGCTGCTCCAGAAAGCTCTATACCTATTTATCTTTGTATATTCTGATTTTTTAACCATTATTTCAGAAATATAGTTGAAAAAATAGTATTTTCAGCTGCATAAGCTTTAAATAAAATAAAGAATAATGGTGAAAAGCAACATGTTTCTGCTTAGTAATTAAATTTGCTATCTTAAGGTCCAAAATACTTAATAAACATATATTGAAGAATTGCAATAACTTAGACTGCAAAGGAACAAAAATGTGGCCATATCCTAAACCAACATATCGTATGTTCTTTTGAGGTAGCCAGGAGAAGCTATTCTTGAGCCGTGGTTTATTCTCTACTATTTTTTGATCTTTGTGTACCTCTTTTGATTCTATTATTGCAGTTGTCTTCTGAACTTTGCAGTGTATCTTGTTAAAATTGCAGCTGTGTATATGGTAGTGTAGAAAAACCAATAAATGTTACTAATGCACTTTGAACTTGTGAATTACACTGAACAAGCAGTGATGTTCTGAAGATAGATTTAGCATTTTGAGGAGGTTGTTTTAGTGGCATTTCCCTTTATCATAGTAATATGTTTACCTTATCATAGAGCGTCACGTTAGATGTGGGCATTTCCTAGTGGTTTGAATTCGTGGTAGTTTGACATCCTGCCAGGATACACAATCCTGAGGAATATTGTATATAAGGACATGTGTCTGTGTATTGCTATACTGACAGCCCGTGTTTGGGACAGCTCAATCGTATATACATATCTTGTATATCTTACAGATTGGGTGATGCCTTAGAAATTAGGCAGCAACTTTGTAGGTAGCTGCTTCTTATTACAAGATTTGGGATTATAAGGGAAACTCTAGCAATAAGGCACGCATATATATATATATTGTTCCTCTAAGGTGGTGGATGACTCACAGAAACTCTAGTAACATCACCATTTTAAATGTGGGTTTCCTTTTAGGTAGCCTGTATTCCAAGGGTACCTGAACAAATGTTAGGAATAGTACACCATTGCAGGGAGGGGACTATAGTTCTTTGTGAGGGGTCGTATTGTTCCAAATTTGAGAGGCTTAAAAACCTGGTTTTAAACAGAACTTCATCTTTAACTCAAATACAGATGTGCTGTTGCTTCACCAAAATATGTAGGTCTGCTTGTGGATACTTGGGATTTTAGCTTATATATGCGGGTTTTTTGGTTGTTGCTAAATTAGTGGTTGCAATGAATATCCTCTTCCTCCCTCCCCTTTTCTTTGACTCGTAAGGGAAACATGAAGGCAAGCTGTCTTGACTTGATTACTAATTTAAATACTACTGTTAATAATCCTTACTGTAGCAGATGCGTGCAGCATGTAACTGTTTGCCAAAAATAAATCTATTTTGGAAGTTATTCTAAGCGTTTGTAGCTCAGTTGCCTTTTTTTAGGGATCTTGCACTTTATCATTGGACTATAATTCTAATTTTGTATTCATAGCAGATGTTAACTTTTAATTTTGTTGCTATCTCCAATCACAGGAAGAAGGCATGGTTGAGATAAATTATTTTCCTTCTGAAGGCTTGATTGACTTAATGTACTTCCCATACTACGGGAAAAGCTTGCATGTAAGTATGCCTTAATGGTCTTCATTTTGTAAATGCTTTATTTCTGTTTACATTTACAATTACTAATATCAGATTGATTCTGAAGTTTGAACTTTGTAATAAGGTACTCATAAAGAATATTACATATGCAGAAATTTCACAGTGCTTGATGAGAATAGAGATGTACTTTAGCAGACATAAGGAAATAAACTGGGCATTGTCCTAATGAAGAAGAGGTTGTATTCTAGCAGATTTAAGGGCATCTGCTGCTGCTTTCTGGTCACCGATATCTTTTGGAATCTTTTTGAACGCAGGGAAAGTTGGGAAAAATAAACTGGTTGCTTTGGATTACAATACAGTTTCTAATAGTTAATCCTTGGGGTTTATGTATAGGATATTAAATTTATAATTCATTATGGTATTGTTGATTATATTCCTTTGTGGCTCTGTGGCCATGTTTTTGATTTGCTCTGTTTTATGAAGCAGCACTTCAAGGTAGCGGATAGAATTTATTTTAATATTTTTTTTAAATGTTATATTTGTTTTGTATCTTGCTTCATCTATCTTCATTGTATTCTGAATAAATTTTATTTATCTCATTGAAGAACACTTAGGTTTTAAAAAACCCCAAAGCTCACTACTTTATGGACATAGAATATGTAGAGTTAAAATTCCAATTTCTTTTCAAACTTGAATTTAGAAATTTTTTTCTTTTCTTGCATCAACTTGTGATAACTACATACAGAAAATCTGTACCTTCTATCAAATACATAATTATATTGCCTCTTATTGACCAAGTTATTTAGTCGAACAAACATTTCACCGTTCACCATTGAAGATAGTAGTACTTTTTAAACATAAATCTATTAGATCCATAGAATACCACAGTGATTGTAATTTCCCCAAAGTGATTTTTTTTGTACTAAATCATTTCTTTATCAGTTATTTTTCCAGTGTACTCTATACTTACTTGCAGCAGTTCACATAACATTTTTTTATCCTTACATGGCTTTTACTAATGAGGAAGGAGTTTGTTTTTCTTCAACATTTACTTTCATGTTACTTATGGGTAGATCTGTGTTTTCCATTTTGTTGCCAGACTTTTTCTTAGACATAAAAGATTAGAGAAAGACTGTCAACCAGTGCTTCCAACAGGCAGAGTCGGTACGTACTCTGTCCCCTTCTTGGAACGACAGAATAGGGAAAGGAGCAGTGCTTCCCTAAGGAACACAAAATACAGCATCATTAGATAGACCTTTAGATGTCTGGAGGTAGTTTGTACCAAAGGCAGGATTAAGAACTTTCCTGAACAAGATTCCTGTCTTGCTGCTATACTGATGGAAAAGGAAAGATTATGAAAGGAGGATAATGAAGTCAGGCAAAACTCAGTGCTATTCCTTGCTTGACTTAGGTGATCACAAAAATAAAGTTTTTTCTTAATTTTTGTTTTGTTTTGGGGGTTTTTTGTTCGTTTGTTTTTGTTCAATGTCCTTTCATGTTCACTTTGTCATGTGGAGTAGGGTTATGGTTTGAGGGATTCTTGCTTATGTTAGGCTCAATTCTCATAACATTAGTATATTGTGAAAAAGAGGCAGCAAGAAGAGTTGTGAGAGGTTGAGGTATTTGACTAGGTCTCAAGAGACTGGATTGATTTCTTAGCAATACAACAGAATTTTTATATCTGTGTTGAATTGTTGAATGAATTTATTCTGTAAAGGAGTTAAGAGGATTCAACTAATCTTGCTGCTCTTGTGCTAAGGTAGGAGCTGTGAAAGTACTAATATCTACAGTTTTGTGGTTCAGAATGGTTATTTGCCTTTTGCTGCTCAGCACAACGAGCCCAACTCCCTGACCTGAGGGAATGTTACCTTTTTTCAGATGATCTATAAGGATGCTGATTCTCTTCCCTTCTCCCCCCATAATTTTATATTGAATAAAAGTCCATTCTAGTATCATCTGTCTTCAGAACATCATAGAAATTTGTGTACCTATTTGAAGAATCTTGGTGATGTGAGGACTTCTCTGAGGAAACACAGAAATTTTATTTCTCACTTTTAGAAAGCTCAGTACCTCAAATGTGGTATCACCCTTAGAAGTGGAGAATTTTGAGGGTGCCTTGCCTAGCTGCATTTTCACCTCCCAGTTTGAAGTTTATAGGAGCACAGGAAAATTTCTGATGTAGTCAAATCACTATTCAATCTACATCTTACTAGTACTTCACATTAAAGATTTTACCACATCAGCTTCTGTGCCATCATTCTTTGTAAATGAGACTTTAAGTATTCTGTAGTGCTTTCTTTGTTAAAGAAGTAGAGAAGATAGCCTAAAAATAACAAAAATGTATTAAGGAGTCTCTTAAATTAATGAGGAAAAAAAATTCTAACCCAAAATTTTGTTCAATTAAAATTTAAGGCTTATACTTGTATAATACTGTAGTGTCGTATTTAGTCCACTGGCTTTTATCAACTTTTACCAACAAAATAAATATTTTTTCATACTCAGCAGTATTGACCTAAAAATTATAAATAAATTATGGAAATACTTTATGAATATTGGATGAAATGCTGCTTTAACAGTGTATAATAAATAAGCTCTTATTTAATTCATAGGCACTTTACAAGAGAATTCAAGTTGTCCTAATTGAATTAGACCTGAGAAATAATGTTGGCTTAACAAAAAAACAAAATAAATAAATTTTTGATTCATTCCTAAATTTTAATTTTTATTATAGGGAGCGGAGTCAAGAATTGTAATTGTTCCACCAAATACGATTGACCAGGATACTGTCAGAATGTTCAAGGAAAGGTTTCTGTGTAAAGGCTATCGAACAGATAACACATTTTAGAATGGATTGTTGTTGAACAAGTAAATGGGATAGGGTGGAAGGGAAGCTAGTTTACTAGTATTTGTTGAATCATGCTTTTGCCAAAAAACACCTAAAACTGTGCTAGAAAAGTTATGTTCTATAGCAAATTTAAAAAACCCCAGCAAACCAACAACAAAAACCCAAAACAAACAGAAGAGACAATGGAATGGATTTCAGACGCTGTTTCAAGTAGAGGTTTCTAGAAAAATTGGACCCAATGTAATAGGAAGGGGTAAAGTCATATGCCTCTTGAAGATACCGTCTGTGACTTAAATTATGTTGAATGTATTAGTTGAGAAGTAGTATGAAGTATGTATACTTGACTATCTAACTTGGAAAAAAAAGTCTTACCTGAGTCAGATTGGGCTTTGAAAGGTTGTGTTCTTATTTAGCTTTTTTTTTAACTGTTCTGATGGATTAAATGTTAATTTAAATGCTAACTTACTCTGGTATCTCAAATATTTTCCCCATCTTTCTGTTTACTAGGCTCACTATTTACAGCCTCTAGTGGCTGTTCAACTAGCAATTAACTCCAACAGTACCAAAGAAGAAATAGCAATTGAGTGTAAGATCCTGGGCTCACCTAATTTAAAAAATGAAGATGATCGTGACAAGTTTCTGGGACGAATTGCCTTCAAAGTTCAGATGACTGAATAGCAGGAGTAAAAAATTCTCCACAAAGTAAACATTGTGTTGTCTGTTTTGTATCAGCTGGACATGCCATTCTAGAATATGAGACCACCTTGGAGAATGTTAAGGTGGTTTATGGCGTTCAGGGTAGCATAATAATATGCTTCCAAATCGTATGTTTAAAATCCCTCAAAATAAATGCCTATCCTGCTTCTGCCTGCCCCATTGGAACAGTGTACAGACTATAGTTGTGTCATAGGGACCTGTAAATAGCTGTTTTCAAACACATAATAATGGTGACCTTTGTCCTGTTCTAAAATGTGGTTTTATCCCCCAAGTGAGTGTCTCAAGCTTAATGTGCTGTGCTATGTAAATATTGTATTGATTTAACACTGGTTTAACTGTCATATCTCAATGCTGACACAGTTATAGGGATAAATAATAAATGGTACCTGATTGACATAGTGATTTTTTTGTAAGAGTAAACACCTCCAACGCAAATTGTGTGCATGGGAGTGGGTGGGTGGATGGATGGATGGCTGTCTGTATGGAGATGCCTTAAATTGTAGACTGAGTGGCATGGGAGAATTGAAATAGCATTTAAGAGTTGGTATGGATTTCTGAAAGTAAGTGCTCAACTAGTACTTTCTTGTGCTTGTCACTGTGCAAGTATTGTGTACATGTAATACTTGGTATAGAGTTTGGTATTCTAGCTGAGGAATTGAATCTTTCTTCGTGTTGTTAATTGCTTGCGATATGTGGAGCACAAATAAAATCTATACAATATTTTAAAACTTTTTAGTTCAGAAATATCAATATAAAACAATTTAAATTGTTTAGGGTCCTGTTAACAGTCGTACAACAGAGTTGCTTGAAAGAAACGGCCTCACTATCGTGGGAATAGGCTTTCATTTTCCAATTAAAAAATTGCCTGAACAACCTCTGTTGAAAAAAAAAAAAAAAAAGAAAAAAAGGATTGTCTTGATTAAACATTCCTGTTTAATTTATATACTCTGTTTCGTTGCATCATTTTAACATGCTTCATGTCTTCATCTGCTCTTTCATCTTGGATTTTCTGTGTATTTCCTCATCATTCATTTAGAAAATTGATGTCATCAACTGCTTTATGGAAATATCCTATTGACTTGGAGTGAATTACTTGCAGTTTAACTTAAATATTTTTATTAAGCCAGTTGCTAAAATGACTGCAAATAGACCAGTTTATTTGTGACTGCTCCTCACATTAAACCAAGTTGACCCATTATATTGGGTTATAACCTTGACAGTCATGCTGACATGGGATTTATATTACTCTTCCCCAGAGTGTGTGTGTGTGTTTGGGTTTGGGGTTTTTTTGAACACGTGGTCCACATTCTGATGTCTTCTCAATATTAAAGACCACAGCAAATCAACATTGGTGTAAATACCTGTATGTTCTGCTAGTTAGGCCTAAATTTGTTACTCAACATGCTTTTATGCCTAATTTTATAGTGGCTTTTACTATTTTATTTAAACAAATTAAATGAATGATTACTAAAATTCAAGATCCAGTCTTAATGCCCTGCTTTGAAAATGTTTGAGGCCAGTCTAAGCAACATTAGTGCAAAACTTTAACACCTGTGCAAGCTTACACTGGTGCACAGTTGGAGGAAGCTGCTCTTAATGGGACTTGAACAGTGTGTTGAACTTCGTTAAAAATAGATTTATACTGATCTGATACCATTCAGCATGCCTTTTGGTTGTCTACTGAAGAAAAATTGTTGTTCCTTACAATATGCAATGGGTACTTTTGTAATAATAGCATGCATTAATACTGAATAAGAATGTTCTTTCAAAATATTCCATTACTAATGTTTTAAATCATGCACTTTTAGAGCTGGGATACCTGAGTTCTTGAAGATATGACTAATTGCTTCTCTGTATATTCATACTGCCTGAAAGTATTTTAATAGTCCAGAGGGAACTTAAAGTGTAGACATTGCATCTGAAAATGAAAAGAACTAGCTTCATGTAAAAAATTCTCACATTTGTGTTCACTTAGGAATGGTAAGAAGTTCTGGAGAAACACTCAGTTTTCAAATGAACTGATTTTTGCAACAATTTCTCTTTCGACTTAGCTATATAGACAAAGCATGAAATGCCAACTCTTCACCAGCACTTTTCAGACAGGTAGAACTCAATAAACTCCTGTTCTCCCTAGATTTTGTAGAAGTGTTTTTTTTTAATTTAATCACATAAGGATTATCAGTTGGGGGGAGGGGAGGAAAAAGCCCCTTTTGAAAGGGTTCAGCTATCAAAATTAGCATGTAAAATGTATGTAGGTAATAAGTCTAGTGTTAAACTATTTAATTAAACAACTATCTCATTTTTATCTCTGTGTCTTAAGAATTTGAGTAAATGATCTAGCAGTTATTTATAAACAGGTGTATTGACAATTAGGACATGATAAAATTACTAGTTTTCTTCATGTGAAATTTACAGTAACATTTCCTTGGACTTAATTTTAAATTATGATTAAAGATTTAAATTTGATAACTTGTTATAGAAATTTTGAATGTTTAACTTTTATGCTGGTAAATATTTGTCTTAGTGGGTACATTTTAGTGCCTTTGAGTCTGAAACAAGAACTTCTAAACATTGTGAAATTGGCAGTTGTTGCAGATGCTGTTTCATACCAACATGAAAACCTACTTATATCCAATTCAGTTGAGGTACCTTCTTCTCTTTGCCATGCCCCACTCCCCCTGCCACCCCACACATGAACATACACACACACACACAGAGGGTTAAAAGGAAAGCTGAAGAGAAGATGGTTAAAAGACAAAACTAGCTGAAGGTTTTATTTTTGCTGATCGTGTAGTAGATAAGATGATTCTGCCAGGACCGATGACATTTAGCACCCACTGGCAATTGCTTCTGGGGCACTGGTAATGAAAAAGAGGACACCCTTTCCTTTTGTACTGAAATGTCTTTAGTAGTTCCCAAGCAGTAGAGAGAAAAAGAAAAAAAATGGATGCAAATGCAGAGTAGAAGGAAGAGTTGTAGACTAAAGAAGTTGTGCATCTGTATAGAGACAAAGATAAGAGTTGGGGGTGTGGTTTTGTTGTTTGGGGTTTTTTTAATCCCCTGTCTCTCTCTCAGTGGGCGATTTGGAAAGGAAAAATACATTTCTCTGCACCAAACTCTGCTGACTGATTTCCTACAATGTTTTAAATGTAATGTTCTCAGGGAACCTGGCACTGAACCTGGATTTTCCCTATTTCAGGATTTTTTTCTACCTCTCTGTGAAGCTTATTCATCATAACTTTTGGATATGAGGCAAATAGAGCATGAAGCTGAACGTGAAGTTTTGCATACTTAAACATTCAGAGAGTACACTTTGGTCTCCTGCAATGGAGAAAAATGTCTTAATTGTATACTCTAAGGCTGAACTGAAAAATACTAGATATAGATAGTAAGAGTATGTGGGCAACTGTGAGTGTGGATTTCCAAACCTCGGAATGCTTGAAGCTTCAATCCTTATCTTTTTGCTATTATTCAGAGCTTTGATTTCCCTGCTAGTGAAACATTCATCTTCTTGCTAGTTAGGCACTTTGTTAAAACATGTCGGCATTCATGCTAAATCTACTGTCAAATTACTGAAGCTTTTTAATGAATTTATGTTAATATGTTTGTAGTCAGTATACCTGAAAACTAGTACGTTTTCTCTTATAGAAGAAATCATTCTGTTAATACCATCTACCCTGAAAAATCTTTAATTTAGATGATTTTTTGGCATTGTATTAATAGAATATTCAAGGCATAAATGTGTTCAGAAACAACTCTTCAGTTTCGCCTGTAGGTCAGATGTAGCTCTGTACCTGAGAGTAGAAGAAACTTCACCTACAACAGGCAGAACTCTGGTCTCCCTTTGCTACAAGCTGTTGCAAACTTGGAAATGGTCTGAGGCCGTTGTGTTTTCTACCCATGCTGTACACTGGGAGTATATTTTATTTGGTTCAGCCCGCTCTCTACATCAATACTGAGTTGTTTTTCTGATTAGGTATTTATTTTTTTCTTTCAGGTAAGAATAAAGAATATATGTGGAATTTCCTTCCAGTTTACTTTTGAAGAATATCCCTTCTGTATTGGAAGCTTTACTTGTATTAGCTAAGCTGGGGTGGGGAATAGTTGAAGTAAGTTTTAACCTCAGCTGTTTCACATCATTAATCTGCCCTGATGCTTGTTTGGTTACAGGTGTTGGGCTGCACACCAAAATTGTGACTCTTCTTTTACCTTAGAAGTCACTGTTGCTGCAGACAAATATTCCATCATAGAGGCTTGATTTTACAGTAGTCTTAGTTGCCCTTCAGTTAAAATACATAGAGTAACTGTCATTGTCTTGTTAGAAGAAGCATTTTAATACAAAAGATCAGAGTGACTTCCTCTATAGGATACTTTCCACAGTTTTCCTTCCTGTCTAAATGGGAGGGAAGAAAATCAGAGAAAAGCTAAGCTGAAAATTCAGGTTATTGCAGTTTGAAGTCCGTTAATTTGGTGACTGTGATTCTTAATATAAAATCAGTACAACATGAGGGTTATCAGAAGCTTGCATGTCACTATGTAGTTTGTTTGGATCAAATAGCTCTAATAATTCATGTCTAAAAGTAAGACTTTTTTTGTCTCTTTAAATCTCAGGCAAGCACCTAAAGAAGCCAATAAAGGAAATTTCAAAGTTATGTTCACTAGCATGTACTTAAATCTTTTAATGTGATGCAACTCTGAACTGTGAGTATTGCATGTAGCTGTGGAAGCAGTGCCTCATTTTGATTTTGCATTAACTGAAAGGAATTGCTAAGAGTTTAATCTGGATTTGGCAATAATTCCTTAAAAGGGCTGATAGGTATCAATGTATTTGAAACCAAAAATGTATTCCCATATTTTATTTTAGAAAGTATACTTAGCTCTCGATATTATGTGTTAGGATTATAATCTTTTAAATTTGCTTTACAGTTGTATGGAATAAAAATGTTCCTTCTAGTACCCAAATATTTTGTGACTTGTGAGCATGTTAATGCTGTTTCTGTTTTTCTGGCACGAGAGCCCCTACAGTGATAACTCCTCCAGGTTTTATTGTCCCTAACAAGATCTCTCGTAAACCTGCTATGGCTGTAGATCCTAACTCCAGAAACTTCCAGTTCACTCCTAATTACAAATGCAACATGATGCACTTGCTTAACACTTTAAATATTTTAAAGGCTATTACTTAGAACCAAGTTGCCTGAACATTTTAAGTGGTATTGTGAATGAGAAAAAGCATAATGCATCAGAGCTGGGGTGAGTTTTAGTGTAAGGAATGGGTTTTGGTCAACTCCTGACTTCTTTCTGCACCTTTTGCCTTTTAAGTTTAAGGAGAGGTTAGCACAGAATTAGCATAGCATCAGTAATTCTGTAAATTTTTCTCTAAGTTTGGGGCTAGAAATTGCTTAATTTAAACACTTCTTACAAGTGGTAGTAAATTTCAGCTTGATTGGTTTAAATGTTAGTTTAAAACAAATCAACATATGTTATAAATCTTAATCTACTCTTAAGAAAGGTTGCATGAGTGGCTCTGCCTTCTTTTGAGGTGGCAGGTATAGTAGCAGCTCATTATTTTGTCCTTGTTTCCCTACTGAATCCCTAAGCAAACTGCTCAATAATTCATTGAGCTATTCACTTAAGGCCAACTGTAGCCACAGGTGTAAAGTTAGGAGCTTTCTGAGACTTTTCCCCTGGTCCTCCACCCTCAGTGTTTCAAGTGACTAAAGCCCAGCATACTAAGCCAATAACATAGGGAGACATTTAGGTGCTAAATAGAGTGAAATGGGATTCTTGGTCTGGATCTGATTCTTGACTTTGTAAGAAAACAAGAGAAAATAAATCTACCTCTGAAAAAGTAAAGCTTAATCACCTAGATTTCTCCAGGTGATTG